AAGGAGATAGGTCATTTGGATTCAGTCACTGTGTCTCTGTATAATTTTCCAGCCTCAGCTCAAGACTTTCCACGAACACACCCTCTGCTGGTAGAGAACTCCGAGTCTTTGCTCTCTGGTGCGCTATCAACCTTGGATTACTGTGAGAGAACCCACATGTATCTAATGACACAATACCTTTGTTTGGGTGTTTCTGGTGACTTTTAATCACACAAGCCACCCATAAGTCGACAGTAGCTAATTGTGAAAAGGCGTCATTTGTTCAGTCGCTCGTCATTTAGTTGATATAGGACACCCATCACCCCTTCTTCTCCCAACTCTGGACTTTTTCCAAAAGGTTACTATCTCTTCTGAGTAATGCGGGGAGCAGCGGCATCTTGACTTGGTCTAACGCACGTTTCGTACAATCCTACAAAAGCTCGGGAATGAACACACCTGAATGTCTATGTGTTAAGTGTTTAACCACATATGCGACCTGCGGATGCGTAGCTGCACTACTTTGCTTTTTTCAGTTTGAAAGTCATGTATAGCGGTTGACACCTGTTAACTGTGATGTTATAATATACTACACAATTTTGCTCTAAGTTGGCGGATATCTTATACTGATGATACAGTTGCCAGTGTTCTGCTGATACGCCAGCAGTAAGAATGGAGTGGTGTGATGTTAATTAACAACGGCAATTATCATGGGTTCTCTGTATGATAATGTTGACGGATGGTAAGCATGATGGACTTATTAAACAGCATATCATCGACTGACTATTTAAAGTAGCTGTGAAGGGGAACTAGTACGATATGTTGCCACATTTGTTTGCATTCGTTTCCTGCTTGCCGAACATTTAGCAAGAAGATTTGATGATTACTTGTTGTTAATTTGAAATCTGATTTTCAGATAAAGAATGCTCAGAGGAAAACGTTGGCTTACAAACTGGCCAATGAAAAGGATGTGGGCTTACAAGCTCTTCACTGCGAAATGTTAAGAGTTCTCACAAGCAACTAAAGTATCCTTTAGTTGCGATTCAGAAGTTCGAACTCCCCATTCGGAAATGTAGTGTACCTTAATTGATGCAATGTACTTTTTCCCACACTCTCTTCATCGTTAGATATTGCTACAACACCTCTAGATCAATGGAAACCGATTCCGTCTTCAGGTTGGGAATTATGCCAAGTGTCGGACTCTGGAAAGTGTTCGTGCATTCCAGAATTTGCCAGGTAGTGAGGTTATGTTAAGTGCCCATCATCTTGGTTTAGAGCCTCCCTGATTTCTCCAGGTCTACTCTTTCCCTGTACCGCTTGGTCTACAAGTGATTATTGAGTCTGGGACTGCTGATACTATATTAGTCAAGTTTATCCCCTTATGATTATACTAGGAGGACTTGTCTGTCTTTATATAAACTGAGATAATCAACCGTTTCTACCTGTCCAACGAGGCTAACTTTTATTCCCAGACATTATCTAATGTCTCAGGTAACCCAGGAAACACTCCATCACCACTATCCTTAAACAATTCTGTGTTGGCTCCCTCCCCCCTCCATCTGCTTTATTCTGTTTCTGATTAAACGGTCTTCATAAACTCTGATGCATTTTGAAGACCAATTGTAGGCAATGATAGGCAATTACAACTACATCAGAAGCAGACGGGCGAATGTGAGTGTAATAGCAGTCAGGTCAGAGGATAACAATCACAAAATTACCTGAAATACTGAGCTAAGTGTCAAAGTTATCAGTAGGTTGCACCGGAGGGATTTTCAGACCATTTAATAATAATAATTCGCTTTATTCCAAAACATTCCGCCGTGATTGCTTCCACATTTTACTGAAGTCAGTGGTGAAGACGTCTGCATTTCTGGTCTTTCTGTGAGTGGCAATCGTGAGATTGCAGCCAAAGTAGAGTGAATGGCATGGTTTGGTATTAGACTACACTATGAAGAGCCCCTATGACTTTGACATTTAGTATCCTGAACCACACAGGCCTTTTTCAGTCATGTGATTCCGTAAGAAACTTCCGTTTGCTTTATCAATATATTCTCGTACTTTTGCCGACCTGCTTACCTTAGGCTAACATATGGAGGGCCCACTACTCAAGTTTAGGGTGAATGGATATCTTGTATATAGTTAATGTGGCTTTCCAAGTTTCGAATTTGAGCAGGAGGCAACTAGTATATCTCTTCCAGTGGCCCACGGTTTCTATGCACGAGGAGAGGGGAGAAACTGTGAGTCTTTTCAAACCAGATCTAAAGAACTTGTGATATGACTGTGTTAACCACCTGGATAATTTCGCCTCTTCTTGGTGTAATTGTTGAAGGGATTTCAGGAATCACAATTAAGAGAACGACTAGTGTAGTTTAGATTTGCCTATAGAGCTCAAACTTGTTACTGCAGTTTGTGATAGTAGCTTCCCCAGCTGATGCTTCCTAGGAAAAGCTGGGTCGTTATGGGGAACAAAAATTAAGTGCTGATACAGACTAGTTAGCCTATTGTTATTAATACGGACAACAGAATACTTAATTGTAATTGTGTTCCTATGATTGACACTTAATTCTAACTATCAGTCTTCGACACAGTATCTGGCGTAATGTGTTACAACTTTTGTTTGGACCTAATCTATGCATCATACCCAGCTGCTTATCACAACTGATTCATAAATGTTCTAGTGTCATACTATCAAGTTTTAAAATTTTCGATTTATTATCATAACATGGAAATGCTCTGAAGTCGGTAGTTTCTCAAAAAATTCCATCACAAACTTTGTTTTTCTCACCCATAGGTCAGCGAGTGACCTACGTCCGTTTGGTCCCTGTTTTGTTTGGTGCTGGCAGGACTTTCCTTAGCGGCAGAGGATAGCGGCACAAATCAGCTGATTGCTGCAGTTTGTAAGGTGTTATCGTGGTGTTGTGTTTGGGCTGTTCTACGTTGTTTTCAGTGGTTTTTTCGACAGAAATACGGTTTACATACCGTATTTTAACGAAAAATCGTGTAAAACTTGAGAAAGACGGTCGTTTTCGGTGTGTTTAAAGATGCTGTCCTTTCGTCGAATTGACATGCTGAGGCGCATAAGAAATGTCAGAATTCGTCAGAAAATGTCAATTATGATAGAAAATGCCAAATAATTCCAATTTTTCAGTATATTTTACTTAAATGATGAGGAGATGTTTAAATATCGAGGTAGATATGATTTCATTATCTTTACCAAATCTCTCAGTAAGAAAGGAAACTGAGTTGGTTATTTCATCAGATAACGGTGCAGAGACAGTCATTTAACTGGTAGGTACTATCTTTTAAGTTATTTATTCAACTCATCATTTTCTCACTAAATTTTAATCATTTTTAATTTCCAGATTATGGTCTTTACTTCCTGAATCACTCAATACATTTAGACATTCTAATGGGATTGAAAAGGATAATATTTGTGTAAATGATGAAATATTTGTGATATTACGAATGTATTTATCGAAATAAATATTGTTTTGAAAATTTTCCACTCCATTCATACACTATTAATACTTACTGTTTGTCGAGTCGCGAAGTGATGCCAGTGTAGAAGACGTAATATTCGTAAAATGTCATATTTACACGTGGTTGAATTTGGTCACGATGGGGTACTGCTATTGCTTTTGAGTAATTCCTTTCGCTAGGAAACCTTAAACAGGCGATATGCACAACAAAAGCCTATCTAATGTGTTACAGTATTTTATGATAACGAAATAATCGATGAAGTTTAGTGACGTAGTCAACTAATGCACGAGTCTAAGCGTTGATGTGATCATGTAAGAGCTTATTGATAAGAAATGATAACACAAGAAGAGTAATGTAGTTATCTCTTTATTACCTAACTATTTCCTTTGAGATAACAGAATAACAGACTATTTGTGATAAATAGAATGTGCGTTGCAGAGTGTACTTCAAGTGCCTAGACTACCAATACAAGTCATGTACGTATAGAACCTACGTTTACTAGGTTATGCTTCGTTATAACAGTACGAACATATATTTGACGGCCACTTTCTTAACAATCGTGAATACTAATATTATACGCAACCGGACTAAACGTAACTGAAACACTTTACGCAAGGCTTAATGACGCATTGAGGAAATAATAACAGTTTAAGACTGACGCATTTCACATAAGTATTACTACGTTGCCTATCATTCTCGTTAACTCTGCAATGTCCTCAAAATGATAAGTAAAAGAGACAAAGTTAGTTGACATAAATGCATATATTTGCAAGGAAACAACAATCAATCAAGTTAAAAATAACTCAGAATGAAAGAGTTCATATCTACACTAAAAAGAGTGAATGACAATCCAGTGAAAAAAATCACAGTTGTAGAGTTTTTTATAGCTGCATCATAGCTATGATAACTAGTCACCATTAAGTCGACCAGTCTTTGCAGTTTTCGTCAACACCAGATCCGTTCCGAGAAACTGGATGAGAACTTTTCAAGCAGAGATTGAGATTGTGTTCCTTCGACCGTATTGAGAAATATCTGAGGATGGATACATATCAGATAAATTTATCTTACCTCTGGTGAACAATTCCTTATCTTAGCTACACTGAATATGTGAATAAGAGAGAGAACAATCACAGAGTTGGAGAAATTCTATATATTAGTCTTCTGTATATTCCACAATAGATTTCAGGAATTGTGTAACTTCCAAATCATCTGTCACATTTTCTCTTCTGTAAAAAGCAAATATTATACAAGTGACTCTTATCTATCCGTCACAACCAACTGAAAGAGATAAAATCTTCAAACTTTATACTTCTTTGATTAAGTTAGCCAGTAATATTCTCCTTGTGAGTGGATCAAATGCTTATTACATCTGTGAAATTTATACACATGTTAACTTGTTCCCTTAAGCTAAAAAATATAATGTCTATTCGCTTTTATTATTGTTATTTCAAAGCCCGCCTCAGTAACGTACGCCACGTATTAGCCGCAACGTTTACTCAAAGGAAAGTCTACCAATCACAGTGTGCATAAGTGACCTTCAAGTGCTCAGCCTCTCCATAAGCCATTTGTGCCGCTATCCTCTGTCTGTGGTCTGTGTGCTATAGTGGTTTGATGCAAAATGTTGCAGGACGTGGTGATTACAAAGCTCTTCTTACCAGAGAGACGAGGGAACCTCTTATTGACAAACATACAACAAGAGCCAACTTCGGAAGGCTCCCCCTCGCAAATTTTATCCGTCCCAGTAAGTTTTTGGTATGCATTATGCTTTTACGAGTTTGACCACGGATTGATATCAGTTAGAGAACCATTGTAAACCAGCCGCGAGTACTGGACAGCTGCTTCACCCTACTCTGGGAATCATCGGCAGTACGCACCCACTGCCAGGGTTTGAACCCAAGACCTTCCGGTTACAAGGCAAGCTCGTATACCACTCAGCCATTGGGACTCGATTCAACGGCCAGTGCATTAATTCTAAATTCTACCAATTTGTGATTTAGCGCGACCACCAACCAATGCCATCGGTGGGAAATCCATCCTCACACTTGAATGGTTGAACCCCACTGGTCATGACTTCTCACTCTAGGAAACTCCGTCCTGAGACAATTCACTAGCGAGCATCAGATTAATTTTCAATAGTTGGTTTGTAAATATTAGATTTGTTTTTACGAGTTTGACGACGGATTGATACCAGTTTAATCCTTACAAACTAACTCTTGAATATGCTGTACTGTTTATAGTTACCCAATCCATTTCTTTGATTTTGTACAGCTTGAATTAAGTATCGAAAATAAGACTTGTATTTACATTGGTCTTGCTAAAATTCCCCTAATAAATGCCTGTTTTGTAATCCGTGCGGACTACTGAATAATTGTAGTAGTATTGTGAAATTCTAGCATCCTATGACGTAAATACGTGAGAATTCAGCTTCATGAAAGTTTAAGTAATCCTAGAACAAAAGATACAATTTGATTTGATTGTAACACATCTAATTGGGTGTCGAACGTCATGTGTTGGGGTAGCCGCTATGATTTAACTGCATCGGTTGATATTTGTATAAATGGTTTACACCATGTTCACATCGTAGAATAATCTCAGTATTATACAGAAATGCTATAGACTTTCCTGCCCTTCACTTCTTTCACGCCACCTATTCGTGTCATCACAGTCACTTCCTGCTACGTGTGCTTTCCAGTGGTGGTATTAAAACAGTTATTATTGATTGCACAGTTCAGCGAAACAGTTGACTACATATAAATAATGTAGTTTCAGGGAAGACGGTAGGGATTAAGTTCGTCGTTTGCATATAAGTAGCATGTAGTATTAGAATTGTCTTTAGGGACAAAGAATGGTAGGTTAACTTTTGCAGGAAAACTAATTTTGTGATGTTTATATGACCTTTATAGACATGAATCTTGGAAGTAATACATCCAGTCACTTGTTTGCTGTTGTGATACATATTTGTAAGCATCTCAGTTCAATCATGACCCTGGGTATCTGGTTGAACGTATGTTTACAATTCATTTCGTAGCAAGGGAAATGGGTTGTGTCATCAGGGATCAGGTAGAACATCCATTGGGAGGCTAATATCTACGTTTAATCACTGAGCGATCTGCGGAAGTGTTCTTGTTCAGCACCACAACAGTGAGTCCCTAAACGGAACCTTGTTATGTGATAGTACTGATGCTGATGTTAGTCCAGAGTTAAAGAATAGAGAATCGATTATAGAATCTTGAACAGACTTTTAGTGTGGTTTGCTATTCATTTATTCAATATGAGTTCCACCATTATTCTTCACCTCGAAGGTAAAATTTGTTCTAAAGTCGTTTTGGAGTGGATACTATGGTATATTTTATATTAATTCCACATAGTTTTTGTGTATCCCGTGTACGAAATATCCATAGTTGTACATAAGCACTATTTTTGTAGGTTACAGAAATTTCTGAGCCTACTCAATCTAATAGTCAAACTCGACTTACAAGATCGCAAAGCGTCACCTGTTCACCACCTTACTTTACTTCATCTGAACATATAACCCTCCCAGGGAATACTTTCTACACTAGGTCAAGAGTCTCTCAGCAACCGATTTCTAGGACGCTTAGTGGGCATGTGAACGAGTCTAATGGACTTGTTACAGGAAGTTCTCTACCTGCTGTAACCAGTGTCAATGATTCCACTCCCCTCATCGTACCCAGTACAATTCCTCCACGTACACCCCATGATGTAAGTGCTTTTCCATGTCTTTTAGTGCCGTTTTGTCTAAAAAAAATTCGTAATGTTATGACATTAATAAAGAGTTAGATCAGTAATTATACAGTGTCTTTATTATTACTTCACTTTTAATGCGTCACAAAAGTGTTCTTGAGATGATACCAGTTTTTACCCAGTTTGGGTTTATCCGAAAGTCATTTGAATGTTACTGATGCTGGAAACAATGGATACATTTTTATCCGTTTATTTGGATTTATTATAATTGGTTAAACTCTTGACTCACTTGTGCAATAATTCATAACAAACCATCTACTTCTATT